GGTGCGGTGACAGGGGCTCTGCTTGGCCCTGACAGACCTGCCCCTCACTCGGCTTTCATTCTGCTCAGTTAAATAAATCGACCATTTTCCCCCTGTCTCCTTTCCCCCCTCCCCCTTGCTCCAAGGTACAATTGTGGTGGTTTAAATAAACTGTTTTAATCCTGTTAATACCCCGAGTGTTCCTTTGTTCTTCCCCCTCGCCCCCCCTTTTTTTTGTTCCCCTTCTCCAAAACAGGACACGGCAAGGGGGATGAGGTTCCAGGGGCAGAGCCCCCCTTCCCCGCGGCCCCAGCCCCGCAGCGCCCGCGCTGCCCTCCCGCTCCACAGGTGACGGCACCAAAACTCCCTGCTTCTTGCCCCAAAGCTTTGCCTGGTGGGATCTTCGCAGCCCACGAGCCTCTGGCCGCGAGGGCGATGAGGAAACGAGGACTGTAATAAGCATCCAACTCGCAGAACTTGCCTAATGATGCCTGATGGGGAATCCTGCCCACATCCATGGAAACCCGGGGGCCAAGACCACAGATGAACATCTTCCTCGGCTGCTCAGCTCGCACCAACAGCTTCCCGAATTGCGGAGCCTTGGAGTTGTGTTTTCCAGGCGGCTGGAGAGCAGCTGGGAAGTGGTGCTGATGGGACGGGAGGCTCCCAAGAAGCCTGCTCGCTTGACCTCAGTCCCAGGATTCCTGTAGTTTCTTGTAAACGTGGCACAGCTTGCTGGAAATTATAGACCCGAGTGATTTAAGATTGCGCCGCGTGATAAATGCTTAGAATGCTGAGCAGCTAATTCAAACAAGCATAAAGTTGTGGATCCAGTGATTAACAAGGAAAGTGTCTTAGGCTGACATAACAGAGTTGCATGGGTGCATTTCAATTTGATATAGGTAAGTTGCTGCAAATAAAGTGAGCAAACTAATCCGCGGTGACATTCCAGCACAGACAAGGCCTGGTGGCTTTGATATAAGGATCCCCATGTATCCTTAGGTGGGAAAGGACAGGTTTGAATAAATTGCAGTAGATAAGGATGGAGTATTCATGTGTTAAAACACAACACTTTTTATTAAATTTCAGAAAAATGGATTTAATTAAAGAAAGAACCAATTAGCAATGTAATGGACATGCCATTAATCATCATAAGCTTGGCTGTCCAGCTCGTAAACTGTCATAAGCTGTCCACTCAGGGCATCTACTGTGAGGAGATGCTTTCAGTCCTGGCACAATTAGCCTGCCATTTAAGTAGAAAGGTGCTCTGGGAATTTTTTGCAAGAGAAATGTGAAATTATTTGGTTTTGAGCTTTAAAGAAAAACACTGGGGCTTGAAATCTGTTGAAAGTGTTCATTGTGCAGCCAGCAATCCTCACAGGAATACACTGAATCCCTATTATTTATCTCTGTTATTAATTTTTTTTTTAATACTGATTTTTATTGAAAAAACATTGAGTAGACAGTGAGGTGGATTGAGAGCTGGCTATGTGACAGAACTGAGAGGGATGTGATTAACAGAGCAGGGTTGAGTTGGAGCCTTATAGCCAGCCTTGTCCCCCAGGCGTCAATACTTGGTCCGGTCTCATTCAACATATTCATCGATGACGTAGATGAGCGTACAGAGTGTATCCCCAGCATGTTCACTGATGATACCAAACTGGAAGGGGTGGCTGATGTTCCAGAGGGCTGTGCTGCCATCCAGCATGACTGGAGAGCTGGGCAGAGAAGAAACTATTGAGGTTCAACAAGGGGAATTGTAGAGTCCTGCACCTGGGAAGGAAGAACCCCATGCACAAATATAGGTCAGGGGTGGACCTGCTGGAAGGCCGTTCCAAGAAGGATCTTGGAGTCCTGGCAGACAGTAAATTATCCATGAGCCAGCAACGTGCCCTTGCCACCAAGAGGGCCAATGGAATCCTGGAGTGCATAAGGAAGAGTGTGGCCAGTAGGTCAAAGGAGGTCATCCTCCCCTCTGTTCTGCCCTACTGTGGCCACATCTGGAATACTGCATCTAGTTCTGGGCTCCCCAGTTCAAGAGAGACAGGGAACTACTACTACACAGAGTCCAGCGGAGGGCAACAAAGATGACTGGCGGATTGGAGCATCTCTCTTGCAAGGAAAGGCTGAGAGACTTGGAAGTCTTTTGCCTGGAGAAGAGAAGGCTGAGGGGAGACCTTATCTAAAGGGTGGGTGCAGGGAGGAAGGAGGCAGACTCTTTTTGGTAGTTCCCAGTGACAGGAGAAGGGGCAACGGGCACAAGCTGGGACACAAGAAGTTCCATTTAAATATGAGGAAAAACTTCTTTACTATGAGGGTGACAGAGCACTGGAACAGGCTGCCCAGGGAGGTTGTAGAGTCTCCTTCTCTGGAGATATTAAATACCTGCACGGATGCAGCCCTGAGTTATGTGCTTTAGGTGATCCTGCTTTAGCAGGGGAGTTGGACTAGGCGAGCTCTAGAGGTCCCTTCCCAATCTGACAATTCCGTGATTCTGCGAAATGTGAATAAACAATACAAAGAGCAGAAAGGGTAAATGCAGGAAAGGGAAATCAAAAGCAATGAAATGCATCTCGCAGTTGACATGTGGAACTCTTTTAAATTAATCTGGGATAAAGCAGGAACCCTTTCAAAGACATGACTTCCACTGCTTCAAAAAAGTATGTGTGACTGGAAAGTGACTTGTTAGAGAAAAAGCTCTGGCGGGATGAACATATTTCCTCTCACCAAAAGTAGCTTTTAAAGGAGCTTATTTTTCTGAATAAGCTGCTAAAAGGAATATATTTTCTGTGTAAGGAGGTTAAACTTACTTGTTTAGCAGATTTCTGCTGAAGTTAGATGCCTAGTCAGTGAATGAATACTTCAAAAATTATTTGTGATCTAGTAGTGCCTAAGGTTTAGTTAAAATTTATGGGATGATGTTTCTGACTCTTCAGGGGCATGGAAAAGATTTAATTCTGTAAAGCTGAGAGAGAGAGACCACAGAGAATGAGGAGAAAGGAGCTGGAGGGGTAACAATCTGCTGCAGCTAAGGGGAGCTGAGAAATAAAATGTGACTGTGGGAGGTAACAAACATTTAAAGATTCTGGACTACCTGGCACTAGAGCTGGTGTAGTGTGGAGGGTGC